TAGAATTGACTTAGAGAATTAAATAATTCAATAAAAATGCTTATTAAACAAAAAAAAATTATTTTAAGAATTTCAATTAACTCTAATAAAACCCTAAATCTCTGAAAAATTAAAACATTATCAGATAACCTTTAATTTCATCTTAATATCAATTTCAAATTAAATCAATAATTAATCTTTTTAATTAATTAAAAATCTTTAAAAATCCTAAGTAAATTCCAAACACTTGGAAACCCTTCCATGGGTTACTCCTGACATTTGGAAGTGATTCCATGAAGTTTAGAATGAGTTTGGATCAAAATTGCTAAAACCATACTAATTAACCAATTTTAAAATTTAAATAATTAAGAAAAATTTATAAAATCATAACTAATTATAGAAAATTCCAAATCAATCAAACTCAAAGGCTAATGATTCAAAATAAAATCTAATATTTTTTAAAAATGTCAAACCTTCAAAATATGATCAAAGTCAAAATGTTAACAATTTGGCCAAACCAAGGTCAAAATCTAGGCTTAACTTCAGAAATTCAAAACATTGCATAGAAAATTCCGAATTGAGTGTGCTAATAGTCTAACTACTCACCATAAGGTCTAATATTTGTTAAAAATTTGAAACCTTCAAGATTAACTTTAATTTTAAAAATCAACTTTTAATCCCTTAATTAACCCACTAAGATAATTCATAAAAAAATTTAATAATTCTTTAAAATTTCAGAATTTTCTAACTTGAATAATAAAATGTTTAACCAACCCCTTAAAATCAGTAACTAAATTTTTTAATATTAATCCACTTTTTATATTTAACTAATTTAATTAACTTAATCAACCCCGATCGCTACTAAGTAACCTAGACCTACGAGGCTATTAGCTTAGCCCTAAGAAATGTGAAATAAACTTCACGTCCTCGATGCGAAATAAAGATAGCAATCACCTAATAATTAAATGATATCCAAATTAAGCTTTAATACATTAAGATTTAAACTTTGACATTAAATTTCCCTTCAACCTTAACCAATTCAAAACTTTAGGCAACTCCAATCAACTAGCCAGCCTAGGATCTACCCCAGACACACGACCTTCTATACACACTTTAGATGGATTTCTAGGACAACCGACTTTAGATCTAGGTTAGGCCGGTATTTACTTTTCTGTTGTATGCCAGATTTTCAAGATTTTATTGCATGTTGTGGATGAAACTGTTTGTTGTGTTTGTTTACTTTTACTGCACTATATGAATGATTGATGTGTTTGGCGACTAGATTATCCTTAGGATAGGAACGATCTGGATGTTCACTGAATTTTCTACATGTGGCCACACTCATGCAAGGTAATAAAAAGGGGGCGAAATCAAAAATAATCAATTGTAAATGTGCTTGCTATAGGTGCTTCAACTACTAAGCCCCCAAATAATAAAAAGAGCCTGATCAGTGTGTTTACTTCTTTTATCGCATATATATACAACTGCTTGGGATGTATTTTGATTTATTAAATGCTTAGAATAACCTTGCAGGAGACTCTAGAATTTTTAAAATAAAATACACACTTTTGATCTTGTAGCGGTCGAAAATTAAAATACTGGAGATTCCGTATAAATCTATGAATTTCGTTTCAAAATTTGAAATTTCCTTGTGAGTATAAATCATTCATAATCATCAACCATCAGGTTAAGATCGATCTAAGTCAACCCGCTATATTCTATCTAGAATGAGATTCTATGCATATATATATATATATATATATATACTATAAGACATAAATTCAAATTTCCCAAAAAGTATGAGCCTCTTCACATAAAGCTTAAATGGCCAATAAAAAATTCATTGTGAGGAATGAATCTTTAGGCAGCCTCTATCTAATTCTTAGTACAAGTGACTAAACTGAGATCATTAATGCATTTTTTTTTTTCGTAACTCATCTCATGCATTGACTTTGATCATTGCTTATAAATATGGTTGGTACAGGTGTGGGCACATTATATCATAGGACCACATTCTACACTTCTCTCTCCAGAATCCTATAATTCTAAATCAATAATTTTTCTGCTTCTTTTCTCTCTCAAGTAACAATTAAAATCAAACATGCTAAATAAGGAGACCACCAGACGAAACAGAGTTGAGGATTTAATGCTGAGGCATGTACTGATCTTGGCGAGCTTGATGACCTCTTTGATGGATCTAAAAATATGATTATTTTAGCCAAGTTTTGAAACATGTGAAATCCTTCTTATCAATTCCCTCAGTGATCTAATGGCTTGATAGATTCATACGTTAAAGATATTTCAGAAACCTTCTAGCAAAGCCACACTGTTGAAAGGAAAATTATTACGCCCAGTGTCTGGATTCGTCCGGACACCAATCTAGACATGCCACGTCATCAAAATGCACCGGGAACCAGTGTATTTGGTGACGTGGCGCGTCTGGATTGAGTATCCGGACGTCCGGTGACCGGACATAATAATTCTCCCTCTTGAAATCAATTGTAGTAGGCCTTTCAACCTCCACTCCAAAGGCGGTAGGACCATCTGAAAGATTCAAAAGTCCAAATCATGGCTGTTGCCCCTATGAAAAAGGTTGAGGTCTAAAGCATGCCAACAGATAAAAGTAAGATGCCAATAATCACGTAGCCAATAATCAAACTATTGGAGGAGAAACCAGGCCTTCCTTGCTTGACAACAGTAATATTCCCTTCAAATAGAATCTATTAAAAAGATATATGTAGGTATTCTTAAAAGTTGGGATACAACTACTGGAGCTAAAGGGTAGAAGATCCCATCAGGTTAAACGAATTAAATTATTGCCGTTACCATCACCTAATGGGTCATACGCTTTGAGGATTCTTGGTCTAGAAAGATTGGTGAAAATAAAAAATTAATGTAGAAACATCTAGCTTTTCGATAATCTCTGGAAGACCCAAAAAGTGGAACAAGAAGGGCGATTAATGATTCCCAAACGTCAAAGGATTTGGAGGGGCACAGCTCTAATCTTAATGAGAAGGAAAAATGGCAGGCATCTATCTTATACATCTATACTACTATTATAAAAAGGGCTTGAGTTTCCTTCCCCTGACAAATCTTGTTCATCCATTCTACTTATTTTTTAATTATCTTGACCATCCATTATATTATAACTAATTAATAAATCAAAAAAATAATACTGATATAATTTAATGCTCTCTCTCAAATTAAATATTACTATTCAATTAATACTCTTCGGCTATTAATATATATTATTATTATTATATAAAAGTGGCTTTGTATTCCACTCATAGTAAATCCTGAACGTTCATTTATAAGTTTTAAATTAATCTATAACGTTGATTTATGACTTTTCAAGTTCGCTCATGCGGCTTCAATTTCCTCCGTCAAAACTAATTAAGCATTTAATCGGTTTCTTAATTTCCGTAGCATGAGTTTCGTAAGCATGCATTTAATATCACCTCTTTCTTTACCTATTCACGCCATAGATGAGACATTGGGCTCTTCATCTTCCCCTGTTCTTCTCCTCATTATTGACTTTTCATTTCTTCGCACCAAAGGTGAGACGTCGGGGCTCCTCCTTTTCACCATTCTTCTTATTGCTTAATACAAGACGGCATTACCTTCCGGCTCTTCATTTCTTCACGTGAAAGATGAGGCGTCGAGCACCTCTTTTTCTCCTGCGATACATGGCTACTTTGAATATTGCAACTTTTCGTTTCTCAAAGCTGAAACGAAGCTTTTCATGTAATGCTAGAATTTAAATGAGCTACCACTTTTGAATTGACAATGATTACGTTTCTATTCCACTATTTCAGCCAAACCTTTCGTAGTCTAAAACCTTCATGTTTCGTATTCCATGTCGTAGGTGATGCTCAATCGCTATTATAAGTATCACCAAGAATGTACCAGTTGATTATGTATCATTTTCGTTGTTTATTACTCAAAGGGAATGTTTGGATGGATTTTGGTAGGCTTTATCCAAAATTCTAGCTCTTGAATGGTTTGTAACCTGCAACTGCATGGATAAGCCCCTGAATTAACCCACATGCTGCAGCGAGGGATATCATGAGACAAGCCATGCTCAAGATCTGAAGCCAAATCCATGTCTTCGACCACCGCTTGATATCTGCTTGTTTTATGTATATCTCAACAGGGAAGAATACCGTCAAAGGCCAGAAGGTGAGAAAAAGGGCCAATCAATCCAAGGAAATCGTTGAAGAAGGGAAAGATCATAGCAATCACTTCTGTCACAATTACGTACGTAAGATGTTCTCCATATCAAACGGAAGAAGCAAAAGGGATAGTCGACCATCATTGGATGTTTGATTATGCGCTCACCTGTCACAAAAGAGTTACCTGGCCATGGGCATTGGCTCAGGTTTTCTACAAACTAAATGATTGGTTGGCAGAACACTTGTTCAAATTTGAACTCTTTAGCTATATATGTTTTTTATTAAAAGAAATTGAATTTTGTGTGATGGAAGCAGGTCTTACCTGATAAACACCGATCAAATGGATTCATTTTTGTTCCATCAAACCTACTATTCTTAATTTAATATGCAAAAAGACCTTACACAAAGTTAAAACCTTGTGTGATACAAGTCCTCGACAAAGGGATAGTGGAATCAAATAGGGGGGTTAGAATGGAGTTCTATTAAGCATATATATAATGGATAAAACTCTGGGAATATTATGGAGATAAAATAATTATAGTGAAGTGTATATTTGCTAATTACTCTAATAAGCTTGTCATAGATGAGAAGTTATATATGCTCTAATTCATAACAATAAATTATAATATGTATATATATGTATATCAAATATTATAAATTCTTAAAAAAATTATATGTTCTTGGATCATCCAACATTATGTTTTTTAGATCAAACTTCATGTAAGAGTAAATAAAAGAGCATAATAAATTTAATTCTACGATACAAAACAGTAGTTCCATAGTAGCACAATAAGAAACATAAACAACAAAATCTAACTAAAGTAACTAAAAGATACATGATACAAAAAACTAATGCCTCCTTTTATGTCGATGTGAAATCGCATCAGTGCTTGGAGTAAAATGCTGAGGTGCTCGTAGTGGCCTGGTACGTAGATGGTGCTGGTCCTGATCACTAACATCTTGCTGAGTAACTGGGGGCTCTCCCAAGGAGGAAGGTACGAACTGAGGTGTGGAGGCGACGTCAAACTCAGCTGTGAAGTGGCTCTGAGAGGGACCAAGATCAGGATAGGAGGATGGCCCAGCATCATATGGATCTGCAGTCGGAACGGCTGGACTATACACCTGCGTATCTGCCTCGTCAAAATAATGAGCATCGTCAATGTATATCTGTTGTTGTAATCTTTGGCACATATCTCCAACAATATTCACATCCACCTGTAAAGGTGTCCCCTCAGTACCGCCAAAGTGTGGTTGCAATCTCATCTCCATGCTCACAAAGAAATCTCGCTGTCAGGTTAAGTAATTCAGTTAAAATTTATCATATAATTAAATTTAAATAACTTAAACTTACCATGTGACGTTCAGCTGGTGATCTTGGATAGTATGTACTCGGAGGATCCACTGGGGGCTTTAGCATGTATAGTGTAGCCCAAGAATGAAACCATGCAAAGTACTGCTTCACCTTATAATCATAGTCCAACCCAGGAATCTCTCCAGAAACAATGTATGCTCTCCTGCTCTCCCATAGTGCAATACTTGCCTGGTGATATAATGCCCAATCAGTATCTGCCTTACCACGTCCATCAACTCTGACAAAACTAGGATCCATTGGCATGATATCAATGGAAGGGCAGTATCCAAATTGTCGTAGTACTCGATCAGGGAGATGCCACTCAACCCTTTTCCAACTGATCAAAGGAACTCTGGAGAGCCAAGTGTCCTGACCTGAAGTGCATATCTGTGGAACCTGAGCATGAATCTCTGCAGTGTATGGTTCCCATATTACCTGTATCATTTTGTATATAACAATTTAATCTTTATAATATCGAACAAATATGAATAAAATGTACCAATATAATTATATTTAACATACCTGACTCTCAAGTAAGCCATCTAGCTCATCCCTGTATGTCATAACATTTCCTACAGGTACCTCCCGAAGTCATTCCTCATTCCAACTATTTAATTTTATTAATATTAGCAATAAAATTAAAATCAAATAACATTAATATAACAAATTACCTTATTCCAACACTCAAACTATTAAGCTGAACATGAAATGGTATATGAAGCTGAGGTCTTCCAACATGTAGATGCTCCCAAGCCCATATCTGTAATAAGTGGATGCACCCTCTATGTTTGCTCGTTTTGGTCTAGTTTCTTCAGATAGCTCCCTATACAAATGAGCTAGTACTGCACCTCCAAGTGAGTATGTCCTGAATATTGCTATATCTTTCATCAACGGCAAGTACTGTAAATGAATTTCAGAGCTTGAAGTATCTGGGAGCAGGTGACACCCAAGAAAAAAATAAAATGTAAGCTCGCACATGCCTCCAAAAATCTATCTCAGATAGATCAATGTAGGAGTCCCTCAAAAAATCCACCTCAACCATCTTAGTGGAACACATGTATGCGCATGCGCCTGACCCATCTTGAACTTAGCTATAATCCGTGGATTGAATGGGTCATGATACAAAACATCTGGGTCCCGATGCTGGCCTAGTAAATCATCATAACAATCTGGCCAACTCAACCATCGTCTGCCTGAACCAACAACTGGGTGGCCAACAAAAGAAGGTCCATCAATCTGTATCCCCAATATCATGGAGACATCCTGTAACATAATACTTATTTCACCAACTGGGAGGTGAAAAGTATTCGTCTGTGGCGACCACCTCTCTACCAGAATTGTAAGCAAGTGATGACCCATCCTCCTATACCTCATCTGACTGACACTATCCAAACCCACAAAAACTAAAGCCTCCATGAACCTAGGATAGTTAATGGTGAATCAATTTGCTACATCCTCATCCCATTCTCGAGTTGATGAATATGCCTTCACAAAATCATTATTTACAGTTATTCCTTCTGTAGTGCCAACATTCGTGTAACAATAATGTTGGACCATGCTATGGATTTCAGGATTCATATCAACATTAAATTCATCTAAATGACATTGTGCATCATTTTCATAATCATCAGGACCTAGATCACTTGATCCACTACTCATTATTTCATAGCCATCATCAACATTAACCGATGGTCTCTCGGAAGATTCTGGAATGTCATGACAAAAACTTCTATGATGTTCACTTCATCACATACACAAAAGTTTTTGAACAATTAAAACTATCTCAGCCGATAAATTTTTATTTAAAATGCATTAAAAAATACATATATGAAAAACTTACTCAGCATTTTGCGGCATGAAACATGGATTGGTCGGATTGCATTCAGTCACCCCGTCGAAAGTATATGTCTCGTGCATGTGAGCTGTTAGTTGCTCAACAACTATATTTTGTGTACTAATTTCTTTGACCTCTACATAAAGTAGAAGTATATGCCTAACTGCATGCGATAACACCATCTGACACACCTCCTCATCGTCCACAACCGAAGCTATGAACTCATTCCTCAAGGGTAGACGACAAACTAAGTTTACTGAGTACTCCGACGTATCATATTTTAGTTATTTCAGAATCCTAATCTTCAATTGCTCTAAGTTCATATTTGCAGATACTTGCAACGTCCGGTTACTACCCCAACATATGTTGGTGAATATTTATCATCTAACGACAAGTGCCCACCATACATAAGAACAAAGGATGCTCCTCGTCCAGATATTGTTGCACTACTAAGTATAGTTTATGATTACCTACAATTACCCATACACAATATTACTACACTTCAACAAATAAATTCACACATAAGCATTTAACAAAATATATTTAAATAGATATTTTTTTGTTCACAAAAGGATAACTACAGTAATTTGCATATAAAGTTCGTATTTATATTAATTTTTTATACAATTATTCTCAGCATAATTATTTGAAATTAAATATTTTAAAAATGAACTTTATATTAAAAATTCCTTGTAATCCCTCAAACATTATAACTATATTTTATAACTATTTAGTAGTCACTATTACCAATTATTGAAGGTAATTGAATGTTGGCCCTTTATAACGATAGGTTAAGCAAATAGGGAAAACCTTTACTTGCCCACGATTATCTATATTGTACCAAAATCTAACGCTAACACGAAGGTATGACTTTCGTAGTCATATTTGACAAAAAAATTCGTGTTGTCTAAGAAACGAAAGAAAATTAACAAAAATATCCTTATATTAATTTTAAGATATCTTTAATACAAATTTTATTCAATAATACATGTATTATTTTATTTTTTTTCAAAAAATTTTCATATAATATATGTTCAACATATTATATATCTCAAAAAATTGTAAATCTACATTTGCCCAAACAAATCCTAGCAAAACTTAAGTTCTTTCCACAAATCAAATAATTCCTCAAGCATTCACAATAAAATACCACATAGTACACACAAATCCTAAATCTAATCACTAAAGGAACCCTAAACTTCCAACATAAGTCATTCAAATGAAAAAAACTACTAAAGGAAAGAAATTTAACACAAAAACATCCAAAAAAAATTTTTAAAACTGTCTTACGTCGCGGATTAGCCGAGAGTCGCCGACTCCTTCGCCACCCAAACACACAGTATTAGGGCAAGAAAAAGGGTCTTCGCGGGTTGATAAAGAGCAGGGGTAAGTCGCCCGTTTAACGGGCGACTTACCTTAAAGGGTGACTTTGGAGAGTTTAATTTTTTTTTTCGTTGGTTAATCGCTTAAATATAATTAATACGATGCATAGTTTAAAAAATTTCCCAAAAACTTGCAGTGAGATTACTGAAGTTTTTCTTGTACTGTGAATTTCAAGACCCGAGGTCCTCTCATCATTTGTTTCTCTTTATGAGTACCTACCTACTTGTAAAGAAAAGCAAGCTAGAAATTTCGTCATTCACCTATACAAATTATTATTTGTGGAGTTCAAAGATACGTACTCTAGGCAAGAGGTAAATTGTGTGAAAATTGGATTTTTAAAATAATTATTAAATTAATTGTAAGTAACGTGTAAAGACATGTTGTCTTAATACAAAATACTGAAAATTCTGATTTTTGGGATAAGTATTATTCCAAATTGAGCCATGTATTATTATTAGGCGGGTTTTGTGATTTATAAGATTATATTTGTTCGAGTTATCTAACTGATCTCCACCAGCATAAGAACTTTTCTTTAGAGTGGGGAAGCTTTGAGTAGATTATAATCTGTAAAGATGCTTATAATATTTCTTCTCTTTAATTGTAGCTCTAAAGAGGGTTAAAGAGAGATTCTTTCTCGGCTATAAATGTTAGTATTTTGATTAGCAATGATCAATTTTCATATTAATATTCTTTTTTTATTTTATAATATTTTTTATTATTTTTTAAAGTTCTATTAATGTGCACGTTGTGCACGTGCATTTAAAATAGATAATTTGATATGTTAATAGTATAAATTGTTATTTATATTAATATATTTTATATATTAATAGTATTGTCAATTGGCTTAGACTTCATCTCACAAGGAATTCTTGATATGATCTTGTGTAAAGTTCTTACATTGATTACACAAATAATCTTTATAATGGGCGACTGACAAGTGTTATCACTACAGGAAAAACGTCAAAAATCGGCGATTTTTTCTGGCGGTTAATATGGTTTAACCGGCGGTTTTATTATTTACCGGCAGCTTTGCGGCGGCATTAATGCTGCCGGTGGCCGCCGGAAACCTATAGCACCTGCAAAAAAAAAATAACAGCATTCCCTCTATTTGAGGGAGGTTCACCCTAAAGTCTAAACCTGCAGAAAGAGCAATACATTTTGGGCAACACGCCGCTATATTCATCAAAACTATAAACATAACCATAAATTCTAAATACAATCACAAGTTCACAAGTTCATAATAAGGTTACAATCAGAAGTTCTCAAGTAAGTTCATCATAAGGTTACAATCACAAGTTCACAAGTTCTAAATACAATCATCAAACATAAAAAATATCTAATCCTCAGCTGTATCCTCACTGTCTGCAGATGGCTGCTCCTCTTGCTCCTTCTTCCTCTGATTTTCAGCTATGTAGGATTGCAACTCTGCTTGCATTTCATTTTAAACTTTTCTCATTTCTTCAATCTCTCTAGGTTGAACCCTTCTCATCACTTCAATCTCTCTAGTCAGCGTTGCAACCCTCTCGCTTACAGATTCTTCAGCTCCACTTGGATCATGAAATGTAGAGGTGGATGAACTGCCCTCAATAGCAAAAGCCTGTGAACCCATGCCATATACCCTTCCCCTTTATCTTCTACCAACAACATCTGACCATGTATGATACTCAGAAATGTGAGCCGATCCTGAAGATGATCCCTCGCCAGTGGACTGCCGACTTTTTCTAGCTCGTACTAAATTATCCTACGAGTTATAATTAGTTTTATTAAAATAAATTTTTATTCTAAAACTCCAAAAAAATTTACTCACATGAGCCTTCTTAGCCTTCTCATCAACCCACTGATGGCCAGCTTGATGTTGATGAGTTCTTGTATGCAACTCCAGTGGTGTTGGCTCCCGACCAAGGGACTGTTTCTGAAAATTTAAGAAATAGTTTTAATAACATAAATATATGTAATAAACTAATTCAAAACACTTACGAGGCGACGCCTATGTTCCGTATAAGGTACAGATCCACCAGTATGAAGAGAGCTTCCTAAACCGCCATAGTCAGAGGCTCTGTTCTGTTTATTCTGCTCTCTCATTTTTATAAACTCAGGGGTCGCCCAAGCACTACTCAAATCAGCCCAAACGTTTCATAAGCTGTAGATGAACCGGCATGAGTTGTAGATGAACTGGCACGAGAATCTCTATGTAGGGTCTACTCATCGGGCTTCATCAAATATTTCATAAGCTGTAAATTAATGAACCGGCATGAGCATCTCTATCTGGCTCGTACTCGCCATGTGATGTCCAAATCCAATAGTTTGGATGAAATCCCTTATGATATAAATCAAGCTTCACATCATCGGGCTTGAGGAATGCTAGATTTTTATGCTTCGAACATGGACATCTAAACATTTTATCAAACTGAAAGGAAGGCAAACCGCCGGCTACACCGGCTGTCTATAAACCGCCGGTTATAACCGCGGTAATAGGCATTTTTCCTGTAGTGTATCTTCTCAGTTTATTTTACATAATATCCTAATCAAATTTTGCATTGTATCCATATTTAGTGAAATTGGTTGTTATGATTTCATCAAATTTGTTCTTAAAAATCCATCCTATATAATCTTGAATATTATTAAGACTCTCATTCAAATGCATGTAAAGAATATCATGCAAATTATAGGATATGTTTTGATGTACATATTACTATAAGTTCAATTCTAAATTTCAATTTTTACCTATTTTCACTTGTTTTATGTTAGGTCTTTCATGCTTTGCATTTCGTTTGTGACTCTACACTATTTCGACTTTAACGATCAGGTAATGAATTTATCTGTACTTAATTGTTTTTATATATTTTGGTAGTTGCAATGAGTTTACATTAAATCAAACTTCTTTGTCCTTCATATTAGAGATTGCTTACTACATGATTTTTTAAATTTCTGATTTATGTTTGGTTTTAGTTATGATGTTATGATTAACTTATGTTTTAGACTTTGTTTAAATATATCACGTGAAAATCTCTGAAAAGGGGTAAATATTTATGGGATAGACTTGTGACAATGACAATAAATTGAACAAAAGTGGAACATTTCTTTTGAGACTGGATGAAAGCCATTGACACAACTTGAAAAGAAAACGGTGTCAATTTCTCTAAAGCGATATTTTCTTCAGAAATGTATTGAATTCAAACAAGGCAAACATCAAATGGGT